TTCTAGATGATTCTGTCCATTGATCTACGTGTGGTGTCAAAGTCCCCACTATTACTGTGTCAGTTTCTCCTTTTATGGCTGTTAGTATTGGCCTTATAGATTGAGGTGCTCTTATGTTGGGTGCATGTATATTAAAACTTGTTTTGTCTTCTTGATCACTTGATACTATGTAGTATCCTACTTTGTCTCTTGTAGTAGTCTTTTCTTACAGCCTGTTTTTCCTAACATGAGTACTACTCCTCCAGCTTTCTTTTGAATGCCATTTGCATGGAATCCCTTTTCCATTCCTTTACTTTCAGTCTGTGTGTGTCCTAGATTGAAGTGGGTCTCTTGTGGACAGCATATATATAGGTCTGATTTTTGTGTCAATTCACCCAGTCTGTGTCTTTTGGTTGAAGCACTTAATCCATTTACATTTAAAGTAATTATCAGTATTTATGTTCTTATTGCCATCCTGTTAATTGTCTGGGGTGTGTTTTTTGCTTTTTTTTTTTGGTTGTGTTTCTTCCCTTCCTGTTTTGTTTTCCTCTCATGTGATTTGACGGCTATCTTTAGTGTTTTGTTTGTGTTACTTAACTGTAGAATTTTGGTCTGCTGTTGCCATGAGGATTTGATATAGCAGTCTATATGTGTGTGTATGTATGTGTATATATCCATACATATATCCATGGATATACACACACACACAAATTAAGTTGCTGGACTCTTAATTTCAAATGCATTTCCAACATCTTTCATTTGAAATTTCCTCTTGTCAGAGTTTCTCGTTTTGATACTACATTTGTGAGTGGATGATTTCCTAGCTTTACTGTATGTTTGCCTTTACTGGTGAGTTTTCTCATTTCTCATTTTGTTTGTAGTTGTGGCCTTTTTTTTTTTCCATCTAGAGAAGTTCCTTTAGCATTTGCTGCAAAGCTGTTTTGGTGGTACTGAATTCTCTCAGATTTTGCCTCTCTGTAAAGCTTTTGATCTTTCCATGGAACCTGAACAAGAGCCTTCCTGGTTATAGGATTCTTGGTTGTAGCTTCTGCCCTTTCATCACTTTAATGTATCATGCCACTCCTTTCTGGCCTTCAGAGTTTCTGGTGAACAATCAGCTGATAACCTTATGGGAGATCCCTTTATGCTATTTGTTGCTTTTGCCTTGTTGCTTTTAGTATTTCCTCTTTGTCTTTAATTTTGGTCAATTTGATTATTATTTGTCTCGGTGTGTTCATCCTTAGGTTTCTCCTGTATGGGGTTCTTGGTACTTCTGGACGCATGTGACTGTTTCCTTTCCCAGGTTAGGGAAGTTTTCAGTTATTATCTCTTCAAATATTTTCTCAGGCCCTTTCTCTCTTCTTCTGGGTCCCCTGGGATGCAAGGTGTGTTTAATGTTGTCCCAGAGGTAACTGATACTGTCTTCATTTCTTTTCATTCTTTTATTCTTTATTCTTACTGCAGCAGAGGTTTCCGCCAATCTGTTTTCCAGCTCACTTATTCTTCTGCCTTGTTTATTCTGATATTGATTCCATCCAGTGTATTTTTTCAGTTAATGTATTGTTCATCTGTTTGTTCTTTAAAGCTTCTAGCTCTTTATTAAACATTTTCGTATCCTTTTGGTCTGTGCCTCCATTCTTTGTCTGAGATCGGAGATCATCTTTACCATAAAAACTCTGAATTCTTTGTCAAATACATTACCTATCTCCAATTTGCTTACTTATTCTTCTTCTTATTCCTTTCTCTGTAACATATTTTTCTGCCATCTCATTTTGTCTAACTTTCTATGTTCATGGTCTCTGTTTCTTAGGCTGCAGGATTATAATTCTTCTTGGTTCTGGTTTCTGTCCCCCAGTAAGTGGTTTCTGTCTCCGAGTAAGGCTCGTCCAAGGAGGCTTGTGCATGCTTCCTGGTGGGTAGAGCTGGGTTCCGTCCCTCTGGAGGGCAGGGCTGTGTCAAAGGGTGTGTTATAGATGGCTGTTGGCTCAGGACAACTTTAGGCGCCTGTCCCCTGATTGGTGGGGCTGTGTTCTCACCCTGTTGGTTGTTTGGCCTGAAGCATTCCATCACTGGAACCTGCAGGCTGTTGGGTGAGGCAAGATCTTGGGGCCAAAATGGCAACCTCCAGGAAAGCTCACACTGATGAGAATTCCCTGGGTGTCAACCATCAGTGTCCTTGTCCCCAGAGTGAGCCACAGCCTACCTCTGTCTCCCGCAGGAGGCCCTCCAAGACCCACAGGGAGGTCTGGCCCACATTCTTATGGAGTCATCGCTGTGCCCTTGGTCCCTGTGCACACGAAACCGTGTCTGTGCCCTCCAAGAGTGGCACTGTGTCCCCCAGTCCTGTGGAGCCCCTCTGCTCAAGATCCACTGGCCTTCAGAGCCAAACTGCTCTGCGGGCTCCTCCTCCTGATGCCAGACCCGCAGGCTGGGGAGTCTGACGTAGCGCTCTCAGTTCTCATTCCTGTGCGGGAACCTCTGTGGTAAAATTATTTTCCAGTTTGTGGGTGGCCCATCAGAGGGATGGGATTTCATCATATCATGAAAGTGCTCCTCCTACCATCTTCTTGTGGCTTCTGTTTTGTCTCTGTGGGTAGAGTATCTTTTTTGGTAGGTTTGAGTCTTTTTCGTTGATGGTTAGTTATTCAGCAGTTGTGATTTTGGTGTTTTAGTGAGAAGAGGTAGGTTTGAGTCCTTCTACTCTGCCATCTTGTCTTCAAAGATTTCTTTAGTAATTGGTTTTAATATGTGGTCTCTGGGCTTCCACTGGAATATTTATTTATGATGGTCATTTGTTTAATGCAAGCTGCTTTTCCACTTAATTGACTACTAAAAGCAGATCTCAAAAAGATAAGAAAGTTGTGTTGGGCCCTTTTTGAGTATTAGACTGCTTTTCTAAAAGGACACTCTGACTAGATGGTGGTCTTAGAACCACTTTACCTCTGATTCTTGATGAAACCTATTCTCTCTCTGTTCACTTGACACCTCCTCACCCCCACCAGACTGTGCCTGCTCACCTTATCATTTCAGGTAGCATCATAACCGCTTCAACTTGTGACTACCATCCCTCCATTATCTGGCCATTGAGCCTCTTTTTTCTTTTAAACACTTTCCTTGAAGAAACCAGCCAGCTCACTATTATTACAAAGCTGCTTTAACTGAAATCACACTATAAATATAAGAGGCACCATATTACAGTAGAAGGACCACAGCCTACTCAGTCAGATGAACTATATTCCAATAACTCTGAACTGATTCTTTGCCTCAATTTCTGCTCTAGTTTTGCTCTACAAGTTAAATATTGGTTGTTGTGAGGTTAACTGACTTTACGCATACAAAGCACTTAGTATAATGCCTGGTACTTAGTAAATGTTCAATAAATGTTAGCTACTGTTCTGATTAGATTACTATGATAATTATAGCCATCACATTTCTTGTTTCTATTATTATCATAGTATATAGGACCCATTCTACTTTTCTAACTGAAGTAAAGAGACTCATCAACTTTTTTTAGCTGAAGCAAATGGAGTCATCTGTATTACCTTTTTTTTTTGACTGGTACACTGAAGGGGGAAGATCAGTTGCCAGTTTGGGCAGGAAAAATTATATACTGTGGTTGTTAACTAGTACTCTGAGTGATGACTAAGTAATACATGTTCCCCAAAGTTATAAATCAGTTTGCTAATAAAATATGTTCCAGATTTCAGAACAGATAGTCCTACAGATATATGCTTATCCACTGTAAAATAATTTCTCCATTATACTGCCTACAATTAAAAAGATCTTTATTAGCAAAAGATGTGTTCCAACAGCATGTTCCATGATGTCAGAAATACTTTAAAAGTAATCATTAAATACTATAAAATATCAGACAATTAGAAAATAAAAAACATATTATGGAATGAGAAGGGTGAGCCTAAACTGAATGCCACAGTAAGTGGTACCATGTTTTGAGGAAGAAAAACAAATAGCAGGATCACTGCTTTAGTGTCTTGGGGCTCCCTGTCCTATTCCATAGGCATAAAGAACTGTGATCTCCATGAGTTTCTATGTTTCCATTTCATTTTAGTTATAACCACAGAATTCCAAAAGCAAGTCAAACTAATAGAGATAACATCTTTAGTTTACTATACCAATGTGATTTTGGACTTTTTATACATTTCTTTTAACTCATGAGTACTTAGTTGTAAAGATACTTCTTTTGGCAGGGTTCACTAAATGAGGTTATACATTACATCTTAAAGTATGTTAAACCCTAAAGGAACAACAGTGATGCCAATTAGGGTGTTTCTGGATAGTTCTTTTATCATATATATCCAAATGTCTATTATTTATTTGTATGTACATGTGTGTATGAAGATATAACTACTTAAGTATGCAGCTAGAACAAAATGTACAATTTTTTTTCCCCATAAAAATATCAAAATGTAAACATTTAAATGAGTGTGACATGGTCAATGGAATCAACCTTATCTCCAGATGCCCTTTGATAAACATGGTTCGAGAGGACATGAGGGCAGAGGGTACTACGAGCCACAGAGCAGGAAGCAGAATAATGAGGTTCTATCCATGACCTACGGAAATTTACTAACCACCGTGGATGCCAATTCTGTTTAACAATAAACTGGAGGTAGCAGTACTTCCTTTCTACCAACCAGAATCATTTGTTGCACTGAGTGGAATAATGAACATAAAAATATTTTTTAAGCTATAAATAACTATAGGTGATACTCTCAAGACAGTTTTACAACTTTTAAGAAACATTTTAAAATGGAATGATAGACTAACTGTATGTATTATTTTATTATTTCCTATTCCAAAAAAGGAGAAAAAATGTTTTCTTTTGATTCTTTTAAAACATTTGAGTGCATGGAGTCAAGTCAGTATAAAAATACACTATTATTCTTATTTCTTGAAATAAAGTATAAAGAAGTGCTTTGTAAATTCAAAAGAGCTATATGTGAAGTTCACCAATTTTTGCCACTTACATACAAAAAGTACATTTTGAGACAGGTGCTTACCTTCTCTTAGACGGTCAACTACAAAAGTAAAGCCTGTAGTTCTTGGATGTAAGACATATTTGTATTTCTGAAGTCCATTCTTTTCAGCAAATTCATTACTTCGAGTAATGCTATTTTCTAAACAAAACAATAGTAAAAGCCATAAGTAAAGAAAGGAAATAGTACAGAATTTTTTATAAAAATGGCAATTAATTTTTCTGTAATTATTCAATATAACATGCTGAATCAAATGATAGAAATACTTTATTAAATCCCTAACAACAATCCTAGCGTCACCTACTTACTGAGATTTTGAAAATTCTTATAAGGTATTAAAGATGTTTTATAACATATTCAAATCCTTAAAATTCTTTAAGAGATTTTATAAAACAGTCAATACACAATGAAAACTGAAATATAAATAAAATAATAACTAAAATTTTTCATAAAAGTCATTGCATAATAAAAATTGAAATACTAGAATATAAAGATGAAATAAAACTACAATAGTAATAAAACATAAGGATCTGTACATCCAGAAGAAATAACCAACAATTTGCCAAATAGATCAACACTGTTTTAACCCAATAATTTAGGGCTTCAGTGCAAAGTGAAGTATCTCCTTGCTCAGGCACACAGCACACTTACACTACTAACTAAAACCACTCCACGACAGAATGGGCATGTGATTAGCACATCATGCACAAACATCTGAATATGGTTTGGCTGAATACAGTCACCGAGTCAAGTATATGTTCCAACTGTTGGCAAAAACTTTTTCCATTCCATGAGGTAACTTTATAAGTTCCAAGAAGAACCAAGCCCATTATTCAACAATTATATTTGGAAAAAGTAAAGTGTTCAGAAATTTGGCCTCAGCTGCTGGTGGAGATCATGAAATACTTTCTGATGACAGCAGATGTTAGAACCTGCAATTCTCAGCTGCATCCTGAAATTCAGACCATTCCAAGTCACCAGGGGGTGAAAAAAAACTATATAAATAAATACTACTTTCTGAGGAGTAAATTTAGGACCATGGAGTTCTCAAAATCTCAAAAAAGCATAGATGGATTCCACAACACTGAAACACTCAAAGAACACTCCTGTAAACTGAGTCAAAAAATTAAACAGATTTCCAGCAGGTCAAAAGTAAAAGCCCACAAACAAGAAAAGGAATAAGCTCCTCTCTCATTCTGGGGGTATTCTGGGCATGGGATGGGACTACAGAACAGTATTTTATAGACAGCTGGAAGGACCTTACATGGGATGGGGAATCCCAGAGTCACCACAAAGATGAGTAGGTAACTATTCTTCAGTTCTCCCTTCCAGCTGGTCATAGACTTGGGGGGATCTGAAGACCAAAACTGAACTCTGATGTAGAATGTGAATACAGGTGGAAGTAGTTCTAAAAGGCATGGGCACGATGTGGAAAGACAGAAATAATCAGACACAGATCAGAGATGCAGATTTTCTCCTGCTTCCCCACTTCATCTGCCCACCCCCAGACTCTGTGATTATTAGGACTAATGGACTAGCATCTCACTTTCTCGCCACAGCCTCCTGTTTCGTTAGCTGGCTCCCTCTAACACTCTAACACCAGCATGCCCTGCCACTCCGGTGATACTGGCTGCTCAGATGATCTCAAACCAGCCAGTCATGTTCCACCTCAGGTTCTTCCTTCTAGCCAGAATGCCTTCTACTCGGACATCTGCATGATCTTCTTCTTTGTTCATTTAGTCTCTACTTAAATGAAAAGTTAAGGGGTCTTCTCTGGAGAAGGAAATGGCAACCCACTCCAGTAATATTGCCTGGAGAATTTCGTGAACAAAGGCTATAGTCTATAGCAGGCTATAGTCCATGGGGTTGCAAAGAGTCAGGCATGACTGAGCAACTATCACTCAAGGGGTCTTCTCAAACCACCTTACTTAAACAGTACCCTATGCCCCCATCTTTTATTACTCTCTCCTTATCTTGCTTTTCCTGTAAGGTATGCATGAATACCTGGCATATTTTTATTATTTTTTTATCCGTCTTTCCTCTTAGAATGTAAGCTTCATGAAAGTAGAGATTTTTTGGTATATGAGGCTCTGGGCACTCATATATTTATTAAATGAAGAAGTTTACTAAATATACAAGGGTGTTGAACTGCATGTAACATTATAGCTGTTAAATACTAAGAAAAGCTTTCCTTTCCAAACCAGGAAAACAAAACACAAAATCATAGTATACCAATTGTGATGGTTAATTTTGTGTGGCAAATCGGCTAGGTCAAAGTACCCAGATATTGGTCAAACATTATTTCAGCTGTATCTGTGAAGGTGTTTCTGATGAGATTAATATTTAAACCAGTAAACTTTGCATTATGTGAGTGCGCTTCATCCACTCACTCAAGGGCTTGAAGGCCTTAAGAGAAAAGGATTAATCTCCTTAAACAAGGGCTTCCCTGGTAGCTCAGGTGGGTAAAGAATCTGCCTGCAATGCAGGAGACCCTGGTTCAATTCCTGGATTGGGAAGATCCACTGGAGGAGGAAAAGGCTAACAACTCCAGTATTCTTGGGCTTCCCTGATGGCTCAGGCTCTTCCCTGGTAAAGAATCTGTCTGCAATATGAGAGACCTGGGTTCGATCCCTGGGTTGGGACGATCCCCTCGAGAAGAGAACAGCTACTCACTTATTCTGGCCTGGAGAATTCCATGGACTATATAGTCTATGGGGTCACAAAGAGTCAGACATGACTCAGCAACTTTCACTTTCACTCCTCAAACCAAAAAAAAGAGTTCTGCCAGCAGACTGCCTTTGGACTCAAACTGCACCTCTCCCCTAGTCTCCACCTGTGAACATACCCTATATATTTTTAATTTACCACCCTCCACAATCATGTGAGCGAATTCCTAATTTGACCCACCCATTCTCTTTCCCTCTCTTTCTACACACATACACACACACACAGGTGGTTCTATTTTCTGAACCACCATGACTAACAATGTGTGATATTACAATATAACATTAAGTACAAAAAGTATAAATTTCCCAAAATTCACTTGTGTAGTACTGTGTATATTACTTGCATAAGCAAAAAAAAAAAAACAAAAAAAAGTTTATAAACAATGATAACATATGAAAATAGAATATATTTAAAGTTACATTTAAATGCACTAATTTTAAAATGTGCAAACAATTTGGATTCAGAACCTAAAGAGGATCATAAAACATGCTCTTTGGGCTTAAAAACCCAAATTTAAAGTTAATCATGAAAGGTGTAAAAAACACCTTTAACAAATACTTTTTCACACCAAAGGTAATTTGCTAGCCTACTTGGGGGAAAAAAAAAGAAAATCATATCCCAACTCAAAACTATTTGTAAAATATTGTTAAAAAAATTTTTTTTAAGCTTTAAGATCAGTCTGTTTCCTCTATCTGGCAAATACTGTTTTGACTTTAAAAACATGCAACTATATCATGGAATAATGAGTATTCTGAACCCTGAAAATACTCAAATATATGTTAAGTTCAACACTTAAAAATGATACTTGAGAAAAAACAGAGTGAAAAAAGTTTAAAATATCTACTTTATAACTTCTGAACATCTAATGTATGAACGTTTTTATACTGATATACCAAAGTAACAGCAACCCATGAGCTTTTATCCAATTATCTTTTAATAACTAAATAAATTCCAAAGTTGCCACTCTTTGGTGTACACTTTGGCATTCACAAATATAAATCTATTATTTCTGTAAATGACTTTCTATACTCTAATACAGCTGATTTCAGTACCCAAATTTAACTATTACACATCCTAAATATTAAAAAATGTAAATATGGCAGTCTATCCATTAAAATTTCCCAATGATAATTCAGCTCTGGGAATCAATAAACTTACAACTTACAATATAATTTCAAAGTTAAACAATATGCAGCCAATATTATGTTCAGTATTACCCTCTGTGATCTAACTACTACTAGAATTTTAACTATAAAAATCAAACATACTAATATATAATTAGTTATATAACATAAACATATATAATATATATTAGTTATATAAACATACTAAGTATATAATATATAACACTAATATATAAAAACACTATTTCTTGGAGTTGCCAATTATAAATTCTATGGGTTGAACACCAGGAGTTCTGGGTTCTGATGTGCTACTGATTAACTGAATGACTCCAGGGATGGGCCATTAATCTCACTGGTGCTCAGTTGCCTGAGGACGAAGAAGTTTAGACTAGATAGCTGATTTCAGAGTGCTTTCATTTTGTGAAGTTCTGTGATCCAAGCCCAGGCCACCTTACCTGTGAGATCAGTCCCCTCAGGGAACAGAAGGAGTTGAAGTGGTTCACGGATATCACAAAAATAATCAATCATGTCTTCAAAATGGCTCTTGTCATCCTTCCATTTCCTATGAATGAAGATATAGGCAGCAGCCTGCATAGCCCAACCTAGAATCAATTTAACAAGTATTTACATATAATTTTAACCAATAACCACATTTCAAAAATATATTTTAGAGTTTTGGGGTTTTACTATAAATTACTTTCATAATGAGCATCTCATGACATACCTTAAATTCAGCACTGACCTTGGATTAAATAACAGATACACCAGAGGATATTCTTAAAGGAGTTAGCTAAATTCTAAGATTTTCAAAATTCTCCAAAACCTCTTTTCAAGCCAAACCTAGGTATTAAAATACAAAGAACTGCCTTAATATTTACTAGTAACTCATCCAAAATTAAATCCCAAGTTAAACAGACATTTTAACCAAGTTACTATGTGTTGTCAGTCTTACAAAAGCAGTAAGCAAAGGATCTGCTCTCAAGTCATATGTACAAAGTCTTTAATATTTCCCTTTCTGGACTACCCAATCTCTAAATCCCATTGCTATTTTCAGTGTGACTTCTTCTTTTTTTAATGCAACGGCCACTAAACACATTGCTCACATTCCCTTTCTCTAAGGCAAATTCAACCTTGCTACTGAAGAGGCAGTCCTAGACAAGCCAGGTTTCTCCCAGCTGGAATCCCTCCCTGGTCAGAAATGACTAGAATTACTCTGGTAAATGCCAAAGCCTTTGACTGTGTGGATCACAACAAACTGTGGGAAATTATGAAAGAAATGGGAATACCAGACCACCCGACCTGCCTCTGGAGAAATCTGTATGCAGGTCAGGAAGCAACAGTTACTGGACATGGAACAACAGACTGGTTCCAGATTGGGAAAAGAGTATGTCAAGGCTGTATGTTGTCACCCTGCTTATTTAACTTATATGCAAAGTACATCACGAGAAATGCTGGGCTGGATGAAGCACAAGCTGGAATCAAGATTGCTGGGAGAAATATCAATAACCTCAGATATGCAGATGACACTACCCTTATGGCAGAAAGTGAGGAACTAAAGAGCCTCTTGATGAAAGTGAAAGAGGAGAGTGAAAAAGTTGTCTTAAAACTCAACATTCAGAAAACTAAGATCATGGCATCTGGTCCCATCACCTCATGGCAAATAGATGGGGAAACAGTGGAAACAGTGACAGACTTTATTTTTTTGGGCTCCAAAATCACTGCAGATGGTGACTGCAGCCATGAAATTAACAGACACTTACTCCTTGGAAGAAAAGTTATGACCAACCTAGACAGCATATTAAAAAGCAGAGATATTACTTTGCCAACAAAGGTCCGTCTAGTCAAGGCTATGGTTTTTCCAGTAGTCATGTACGGATGTGAGAGTTGGACTATAAAGAAAGGTGAGCATCAAAGAATTGATGCTTTTGAACGGTGTCTGGTGTTGGAGAAGACTCGTGAGAGTCCCTTGGACTGCAAGGAGATCCAACCAGCCCATTCTAAAGGAAATCAGACCTGAATATTCATTGGAAGGACTGATGTTGAAGCTGAAACTCCAATACTTTGGCCACCTGATGTGAAGAACTGACTCATGTGAAAAGACCCTGATGCTAGGAAAGACTGAAGGCAGGAGGAGAAGAGGGTGACAGAGGATGAGATGGTTGGATGGCATCACCAACTCAATGGACATGAGTTTGAGTAAGCTCCAGGAGTTGGTGATGGACAGGGAAGCCTGGCGTGCTGCAGTCCACGGGGTCGCACAGAATCAGACAAGACTGAGCAACTGAACTGTACTGAACTGTGGTAAATATACCTGACTTAAAGCAGATAGTCAATAGTTTTATCTGACACCCCATGAAGCATGATAACCCCGGGCCATGCACAGTAACTATCTGGCTAGTCAAATGTTTTCTCTCAGAAATTTTACCTGGGACCACGGAGAAAACAAGTTGGTATGTAAGACAGAGGACAAAAAAGAAGATAATAGAGACAGTAGTACCTGAGGCAAAATAAAGGGGGCGCACTGTAGTGAAGACCTAAACAACTTCTGCTACTGAGGCCCCTAAAGCTGATTGTGATCCAGAACAAGAGGCAGTTTTCAACAAGGGCTGGTCAGTCTTTGGTTTCTCCTCTTGACTATCCACAAGACTCCATCTCCCTTACTACGAATCTTTACAATATGTGTATCTTTACAACATGCTTTTCTTATTTCAGCTAGAGGGGATGAGTGGTAGTTTCCTGCAATCAAACACAACTAAGACAATAGTTATTGTCATTAGGTAGATACTGTAGGACCCTGAAAACATATAGAACTATCATTACATCATTTAATCAATGATTTAAAAGACTGTAGGGCTTTATTTGATTTTTTGGACTTTATTTGGTTATTTAGTAAAGTTGTAGGACTTTAGCTGGACTTTTTTTGGGGTTATTTCATGGCTGAAGTCACTGTCCGCAGTGATTTTGGAGCCCAAGAAAATAAACAGTCACTGTTTCCATTGTTTCCCCATCTATTTGCCATGAAGTCATGGGGCCAGATGTCATTATCTTAGTTTTTTGAATGTTAAGTTTTAAGCCAGCTTTTGCACTCTCCTCTTTCAAGCTCATCAAGGGGCTCTTAAGTTCCTCTTTACTTTCTGCCATTAGAGTGGTACCATCTGCATATCTGAAGTTGGAGCTATTTCTCCCAGCAATCTTGATTTCAGCTTGTGAGTCATTCAGTCCCACATTTCACATGATGTACTCTGCACGGGAGTTAAATATGCAGGGTGACAGCATACATACGCCTTGTCATATGCCTTTCCCAATTTTGAACCAGTCTACTGTTCCACATCTGGTTCCACTCTTGCTTCTTGACCTGCATAGAGGTTTCTCAGGAGGCAGGTATGGTGGTGTCTTCAAGAATTTTCTACAGTTTGTTGTGATCCACACAGTCAAAGGCGTTAATGTAGTCAGTGAAGCAGAAGTAGGTGTCTATCTGGAACTCATCTGCTTTTCTTATGATCCAACTAATGTTGGCCTTTTGATCTCTGGTTCCTCTATCTTTTCTAAATCCAACTTGTATATTTGGAAGTTTTTGGTTCACATACTGCTGAAGCCTAGCTTGAAGGATTTTGACCACGTTATTTGGTTTGAGTAAATACAAACTGGGGCTTCCCTGATAGCTCAGCTGGTAAAGAACTGCCCGCAATGCAGGAGACCCCAGTTCGATTCCTGGGTCAGGAGGTTCCCTCAGAGAAGGGATAGGCTACCAACTCCAGTATTCGTAGGCTTCCTTTGGTGTCTCAGATGGTAAAGAATCCACTTGCAATGTGGGATCCCTGGGTTGGGAAGATCCCCTGGAGGAGGGCATGGCAACCAACTCTAGTTTTCTTGCCTGGAGAATCCCCATGGACAGAGGACCCTGGTGGGGGGTCTCAAAGAGTTGGACATGACTGAGTGACTAAGCAAAAACAAGTTCAAACTAGAATACTATATTCTACAAATATAAATAAGTTTAGCATAGGTCTTGCTGACACGTGTTCAACTGCTGCTTACCCATTATATTTATTGTCAGTGATAGCCACCTGATAGACACCTATATGTCTCTCCTCTTTCACCTATAGACACCTACACCCACAGTGCAGTCTGTAGGCTTTGTGTGACTCTGGAGTGAGACTGTGTGGGTTAAAATCAGGGAGCCACCACAAACCAGCTGGTCAGCCTTAAGCCATTGTCCCTCATTGATCCCAAATGTAATAATAAGCATAATGCCACAATAGTATTTTACCCAATAGGAACTGTAAGAAATAAACAAGATTATTTAGCACAAAGTATTCAATAAGTAATCACTATTATTATTATGATTAAGTTACAATAATACCAAGGATATTGCATCAAGGAACATAAAAATGTAACAAAAAATCTTCCCATTCACAATTGCTTACCCCTCTTCTAGTAACTTGGAAATTATAAACTCTACTATTTTAAAGGTCATGCTTTACTTTATTTTTCTAACATTTAAATTTAAATAACTTCACTCTTCTATTTCTAACAAACTTTAAATAACTGTCAACATTGAGTTAATAAACAATCTTCCCCTAAACAAAAAAGTATGCTTTCCTCTTGTCCCTCTTCCAAAATTTGAACAAAACACTCAATAGTTCCCCCAAATTGCCATTATTATTACTACTACTATTCCTTTTGTGTCACAGAATATTTCTAAATATTTAGATTTGACTCAGTAAGTCTGTTGGATTCTCTTATAATTTATTTCTTATATCTCACATCCTTCTGTTAGTCCTCCTTAAGGAATTTCTGCCAAAAAATGTTTGAGTCTTCATATTTCTGAAATGTAATTTTCGTTGTTGTGCTCAATTTTGGAGGCTAGTTTTGCTTAGAACAGAACTTGAGACTTCCAAGTAATCTTCCCCTCAAAATTTCAAAGCTATTTTGCCTACAGTCTTCTGTACCTTGATACAGCTAATAAGAAGTCTGATATCAATCTGATTTCTGTACATAACCTTATTTTCCCCCCTCTGGAAGCTTTATTGATTTTCTCTGTATCCCTGGTTTTGTGAAACTTTACCAGTATGAATATAGGTATGCAACTTTTTCACTAGTTCTGCTTAGCAGTTAGTATACTCTTCTAATACGAATTTCTTTAAAGCTGGGAATAATCCTTCCATTATTTAAGAAAATACTATTTTTTTTCTCTTCTTCATTCCTTCAGACTTTCTATTTGGAACGTCTCTTAGATAGATGTTAAAACTTCTGGATTTTTCCTCTCATAATTTTCATTTCCTATCATTTGTTTAAGAAAAATCTTTTAGCTTGGTCACCTGACTGTGGTGTCTGGTCTACTAATTGATCATATCAGCAAGCAACTCTTTAATTTTCAAAATTTACAACTGGTTCTTTATCACAGAAGCCAATTTTTTAAGGACAAAGAGCAAAAACTATAATAAGCTATAAGATAGGAGTAGTTTTAATAAAAATGTTGATTGAATGGTTACTATGTGCCTAGTACTCTTTGAGGCATTTTTCATTAATTAATTAATTATCAAGACAACTATATAAATTAGGTAAAATTATGCCGATTTTATGGATGAGGAAACTGAGGAAC